CTTTTTTAATACTAGACCAATTCCTTTGAATAGCAACTCTATAAATCACAAATTTTGTCTAGTTTGTACTTTGGGGGGGTAAAAGTTGAAAAAGTTTAAGTCTTCACAGACGAAAGTTGAAAAAACAAAAAAAAAACCGTACGAGTTTTTAAGTTAGAACTTTTACTGGCTATAGTATCGAGAAAAAGAGTCGGATCGAGTTGAAATGTATAAGAAATATTTATTTGTTATGCCCGCGCACGTCAGTTTTGTCAAATTCAAAATATACCCATTTCCCGCCCCCCTAGGGGGGGTACAAGTTTTTTTGTTTTTCGGGGTTTTTAGCCGTAATTTTAAAACTTTTGGGTTGAAAATTTGCCAGTAGTTGGAACTCATATGTATCCATAACATATTAAGCGGGTGAAAAATTCGGCACTACAGTTTTTTTTTAATTGCCGGAAAACCGTGTTTTCGCACATTGCGTATATTTTAACAAAAACACCTAAAATCTTTAAAAAAAATTGATCAAATCATTAAAACAATTTTATTTATATCTATACAGAATGATACTATTAGGTTTTGTGCTCAAGTACCACTCTTGACTTAAAGTTTACACAAAGTTTAAATTTTTTTTTTTTTTTTACTTAAGTTCTTTCCGGATGATTAAAATTGAGAACTGATATTAAATTCGTAATCACCGACCCAAAAAACATATAATTTGACCACTTTTGATGTCTTTTACACAAAAATCCAGAAAAATGTTTTAGCTTCGATGCAAAGCGAGAAGGTATTGGTTTTACTCTGATGTGGGCTTTTTTTTTCGCTGTATACACTGTAACTTTTTTAATACTAGACCAATTCCTTTGAATAGCAACTCTATAAATCACAAATTTTGTCTAGTTTGTACTTTGGGGGGGTAAAAGTTGAAAAAGTTTAAGTCTTCACAGACGAAAGTTGAAAAAACAAAAAAAAAACCGTACGAGTTTTTAAGTTAGAACTTTTACTGGCTATAGTATCGAGAAAAAGAGTCGGATCGAGTTGAAATGTATAAGAAATATTTATTTGTTATGCCCGCGCACGTCAGTTTTGTCAAATTCAAAATATACCCATTTCCCGCCCCCCTAGGGGGGGTACAAGTTTTTTTGTTTTTCGGGGTTTTTAGCCGTAATTTTAAAACTTTTGGGTTGAAAATTTGCCAGTAGTTGGAACTCATATGTATCCATAACATATTAAGCGGGTGAAAAATTCGGCACTACAGTTTTTTTTTAATTGCCGGAAAACCGTGTTTTCGCACATTGCGTATATTTTAACAAAAACACCTAAAATCTTTAAAAAAAATTGATCAAATCATTAAAACAATTTTATTTATATCTATACAGAATGATACTATTAGGTTTTGTGCTCAAGTACCACTCTTGACTTAAAGTTTACACAAAGTTTAAATTTTTTTTTTTTTTTTTTTTTTAACTAAAAACCCAGTGTACCAGATGTGAGAAACGAACAGACACTAAAAACTATCAGTTGGTAACGTCTATCCGTGTTAGATTAGTTTAGGGCCCAATGATCGGTATCATAATATTGTGTTTATTACATGATATCACAGGCGACTAAATCGTGTAACTGATTATAGTAGACACTCGATTTATTGTGAAAAAAACCTGGTCGTGTACTTATTAAGACACTTAATGATTCTGATACGACAAAACCACTGTCGTTATCTCGTTATTTTATAGCCTGCGTTATATAACCTTACCGAAGGTTAACTATGAGTATTTAATGTCCAACTACCTGCAAATAATGAAGAGGAGTGTTGTTTTTTGGATTCAGATTAAGTGTTGGTTTTTATGCAGTATACCGACTCAAAATGTTTTTTTTATTACACAATTTTTTTAAAGGAAAACTAATGTTTTGTATATTGTTATACTGTTATTCATTTAAAGAGATTCACGCTTAATTGTTTAAATTGTCTTATATTAAATAATCTGCTTCGTGCTAATTTTAATTTTTTAGTTTATCAACTTGTAGCTCTAATTTTGTATAAAATATTTCATTTTTTTATTACTATGTACTATTACTATTAAGATAAATTTTAATAATAATTAAGTCATAAATGATAATACTTTATTTAATGACTAGATCAAATCTTGTAAACATTTAACATCATGATACTGCTCCTATGCTATCATTAAAAAAACACAATTTTTAAAATCTCCATTAAAGGTTATTGTTAAATAACAGGCAACAGCCGACTGCTAGTGGCTATACACGTTAGTAATATTTAACTAATAAGTAATAAATGTAGGTAAAATTTATTGTTTTCTCCATCACAGTACCAGTATACGATTTATTTTAATTTAAATGTAAGAAAATCGATTTTTCTTTAGAAAATAACAAGAAATTAATATACAGGATGAGGCAGTAAAACGGCGATTTTCTAATGTATTTAAATGGTAAAACCCGTTTCACTAACCCACCCTTTACATTTTAAGGATCTATGAAAAGGTTTTTTTAGTTGCATTTTATTTTGTACATTGTCAATCTAGTAAAATAGAAGTATAATATAGCTTTGAAATAATATAATCTGTGAAGTATAAATAGTTTGTGTGAGATTGCTATAATGGAAGTATATAATACATAAATATTAATTTTATTGAGAATAAGCGATTATAATTTAAACTATGGAGTACAAACGATTGAAACATGAATCGTCGACCATTCCAACAAAATATAACAAGACATTGTATTTGTGTTATTTGGTCCACTAAGTTTTTGCAAAAAAAAAAAAACCAGTACAGTGGGGTCGGTGCATAGTGGGGACGGAGCATAGTTGGGTCGAGGCATAGTGGTGACGGGGAGGTCACAGGTTTACAGGAATTTTTAAATCTGAAAGTGATAAAATCACTTTCGAAAAAACGCTTCGATGCAAATCGGTAGTTAGTATTTTCAAGCCAGTACAGTCCAAACCAAGCACAGTATAAACCAGCAAAGTTAGAAAGTTTTAAATGAAGGTTCTGTATTTACAAATGAGCATCAAAGCGTTTATTTGAAAGCGATTTTATTCAATTTTATCACTTTTACTTATAATAATTCTTGTAGACCTGTGACCTCTCCGTTTCCTCATTGCTTTGATTACATTATGCCAATACTCTACTGTACTAGTCCTCTCGGTTAAAATCACTTTCAAATAAACGCTTTGATGCTCATTTGTAAATACAGAACCTTCATTTAAAACTTTCTAACTTTGCTGGTTTATACTGTGCTTGGTTTGGACTGTACTGGCTTGAAAATACTAACTACCGATTTGCATCGAAGCGTTTTTTCGAAAGTGATTTTATCACTTTCAGATTTAAAAATTCCTGTAAACCTGTGACCTCCCCGTCACCACTATGCCTCGACCCAACTATGCTCCGTCCCCACTATGCACCGACCCCACTGTACTGGTTTTTTGTTTATTTATTCGTTCCATAGCATGACTTATTTATGTTCAAAGTTGTCTAATGTAATATTTTAAACAGATTATAATGGTTGAAATTGATTGAAAACAAGAACCAATAATTGAAGATAACAGTTTGTCTTTGAACCATTCAGACTCAGTCTGTTGTATTCGCTCATGTTGGTAACATTGTCTTAGGTGTATTAGATATTTAATAATTTTATAATATATAACAGTGTAGTTATACCTACATGTTGCTTAAGTTTTTTCTACATTTTTATGATTTTGCTGAATTTCATTACTATATTAAATTGTATAAATGACAAAGCTAGGCGGCGTAGGTTGAGTAGTTGCTTACTTTACGGCAAGCAACATTGGAAACTTAAATTTTTACCATCTAACTTCAAGAAAATATATAAAATTTGCATTTGCGTTTAGCACACCGGTGCGATGAAAAATTGGAAAGTCGCACAAAATGTGTACTTAGGTGTTTTCCAAGTATGCTAAATTTCATTAAACGATACCCGGCTAAAGTGATTTTTTACATTACATTAAATTTAAAATTTTTCTTTTATAATGTTCAATAGTTATTATTCATACCTACAGTTGATTTTTTTGTTTGTATTACTTTATACGTGGGGGCAGAGGGTACGGGGTACAAACACCTTAAAACTTATAGGCAGTGTTTTCGAAATACATAAATTTCTAGGGTTTTTTTAAACGAGAGATTTTTCAAATGTTATCGAATTTTAGCTGTTTTAAGTATACACTATAGTCTATAGTCTATACCTAGCTCATATGTCTCCTCCTCCTCTTCGGTTCAAATTTAAAAACTATAATTTATGTTTCATATTTCTTTTTATCATGCATGTCAATTTATAATTCTTAAGAATACCACAATAGCGAGCCCTATAATATTGTGTTATATTATTAACAATTAAATATGAAAACTCTTTCTACCCATTCTATGACTAAACTAAACTCAATAAAGCCAACCCATAAATATTGAAAAGTTTTTACCATTCACCAATGTATACCAACAATACATTTTAAATCATTAATAAATTTAAACTGTTGGATGCTAACCCATTGTGCAATAGTAAGCTATTACGCTGCTATTTTAAGCAAAAAGCTGACCCTAAAAATACAATTTTCCCAAAACGGAAATCGATAACATTTTGAAAATTAAATTATGGAAATATTTATCCATTAAATAATTAATTTATTATCAACGTGGCGAAATCTCCAAATTGAGTATGTGATGGAGTTTTTTTTCGTCTTTTAAAATAACTTTTTATACGTGATTTCTGACTAAAAACTCAATAAAAAAATATTAATTTATTGCTCTAAGTAAATACATAGTTTTTATTATAACTATTTCACACTGTAATAAACAACAAATTGATACAGACAATAATGTTAAAAGGATGCTCATAATAACGCGGGTGTTATTGTAGACAGTTATATTGTCTTGAAAACAAAGGTTAATGTGTAATTTATGCGTGCAAACCACCTGTATTAATGCAAAAATACTTAAAACCTTTTGTATCCCCTACATTGTATTAAACACTTGTAGTCGTGTCGTTGACTTTGGTCTTATAAGTACTGAAATTACACTGCATATTTTAGTGCAATTAAACAGTACACTATAACTGTTACTATGATAAATATTAAAATTATTCTTTTGCTCGGTTTGGCGGCGTACGTGGCGTAAGAATTTTTTTTGTTTTTACTATTTCTTTTTTTTTTTAACGATTTGGAAATATTTCATCAAACCTAGAGTTTTTGTACTTATACATTTTTATTTTTTATATGATTTACAGGTGTCGTAGCGGTAAAATAAAAGGTAACTTAACATTTAGTATAAAATAAATTACCGAGTGAGGTCGGGGCATAATGGGATCTATACATATTGCTGACGTGGAGAACATAGGGGTTTTTTTTTTTGTAACTATTATGACTTAGTTTAGAAATAACCTTTGATGCCGAAATTATAGAAAATAAAAACTGCAAATATAATCCATATTAATCACAGTAAAATATGATACAATTATGAATACTTTTGGTAATAAAAATTTAACTAAAATTTCAAAAATAAATTGCAGCGTCGGCAGAGTTGCATAATATTTAATTTATAAACATTTTTAAACAAAAGTGGACTATTCATATAAGTATATAACCATACGAATAACAACTTTACTTAACTTTTATACTTGATTGATTTCGTTTATTCATGACTAATTTTACTGGTTATTATTAGATTAAAATAGTCATGATTAAAAAGTTTACATTATGTATTTGAGTAAAATAAAAAAAATCCTAATTCAGCGTGTTATTATCTTTTTTTGAGAATAAAGTTTGAACTAGTCGAATGGATAAATTATAATGTTGGAAAAACTACTAAATTACCATAGAAGTTTTATAAAATATAAAGTATTAAGAGTCCCGTGTAAAATAAAAGTATCAAAATCAATAAAAATGACTAACATAAATATAAACAGTACAAGCCTATAATTTATTATTAAACTATTTTGTTTTTTGTCCAGATTTAGTTGTTATTGTGGTTTTTCCTAAATTAAAAATTAAAAATATTTTTACATAAAGGTACTACAAACAAAAATTGGTACAATGACGACAGCGACTCCAGTGAATCGATTTCATCAAGCGAAGATAGCGAAGATGAAGTTTATTGGCCTAAACAACCTAATGGACTCAACAATAAACGTAAAGGAAACGCCAAGGTTACGGCTGGAGATAAAGATTTTTCAAGAACCGGAGTGGGAAAACAGGGTTTAAGCGTAGAATGTACCGACGACGGAGCCCTGGTCAACGGCAAATTAGCTCCAGAATATGATGTAAGAAACCAACCTCACTTTGACATGACTGGTAATGGAATGAAGATCAATGGCCAACAGGTTGGGGATACCGGGTCAAGACAAGGCTCAAAAACAGGTTATAAAAAATAACTATAATACTTTAAGGTCTAAACAAGTAAAATATTGTACCAGTTATAATCATCTAGTTATGTTTTTACATGGTGATTTATAATCAAATTTTTTTTATTATAACAAAAAATTACAAAAAATATAAGCGAGACTCATAAAAAAATGTTTATTTTAACAAAAAATCTGACTATGTGAGGTCAGAACAAAAATTAGTAAAATAAATATTGAAATAATAACTGAACTAATTTAAAATACCATAATATTTTTTTTATAAAAACAAAATTTAGAATACATATTAGTATAACATTTTATTGACTGCAATTCTCCTATTTTAATCTAGATAAAAGATATCAAAGGAAAGGTGGGAACAATATTGGACTTCCCAATTCAAATAACATAAACACAAACAATGTTAACTGGAATAACATGAACTCGAGTTCACCAAGGCCTAAACAACACGGCAAAGCAAAATCAAATATCCCTGCGAAATCACCAAAACAAAAAACAACAGTTGCAAACAATCAAGGATGCGGGGCTGGTGGAACCTTAAGTAACTTTGGTAATTTTGGAAATCAAGGTGTGAGCTCAAACATCACGGTAGCAGGGAATTTAATTGGAAATCCAAAAATAAACATTGAAAGAACTGCCGACGGCTTTAAGATCAACGGTAAAATAGTCCCAGGAGTCAATCCATACAACGTTATAGAGATCGATTGGTACCCACAAGGAGGGATCGCAGTGAACGGTGATTACAAAACAGGATTCGAAGATATAATATATAGCGGAAGAACGATTTTGGCGTCAATATCAAATCCAGCTTATAACAACGGTTCTGGGCCAAGTCAAGCACCAGGTAATAAAAAAATATTTCATAAAACGTTGAATTCGTTTTTCCACTTTTAGCTACTTTAAATTTTGAAAAAAAAGTTTTAAGGATAGAACTAAAAATAATACTTGAATATCACTAAAAAATTACAACTTTTCAATGAAAAGTCCATTTTGATATCAAAATTAGTACTAAGGTAACGTGGTCGTAAACTTGGTGTTTTTACAATAATTTACAGAAAATGTTATCGCTTAAGTTCAAACAAAATGTTTTATCACTGATGAAAATAAATTTATTGTTATGCCAAAAAAAGTAATCGAGACCTATACCAAAAATATTTATTTTAACAAAAAATATGACTATGTGAGGTCAACACAAAAATAATTAAAATAAATATTGAAATTAATACTGGACTAATAAAAAATACTATAATGATTGTTTTAAAAACAAACTTTAGAATACATATTAGTATAACATTTTATTGACTGCAATTCTCCTAATTTAATCTAGATAAAAGATATCAAAAGAAAGGTGGAAACAATATTGGACTTGCTAATTCAAATAACATAAACTCAAGCAATGTAAATTTGAATAACATAAACTCGAGTTCACCAATCGAAGATAGCGAAGATGAAGTTTATATGCCTAAACCATACGGCAAAGCAAAATCAAAGATCCCTACGCAATCACCAAAACAAAAACCAACAGTTGCAAACATTCAAGGATACGGGGCTGGTGAAAACTTTGGTAATTTTAGTAATTTTTAAAATCAAAGTGTAAGCTCGAACTTCACTACATATTAGTATTGACTGCAATTCTCCTATTTTAATCTAAATAAAAGATATCGAAAGAAAACTGGGTAATATATAAAGGGCTGCGGGGAAAAAAAAATCAACGTCAATTTGTGTTCATTCTGAGAAAATCATGTTTTTAATTTCAAAACGTAATACATTTTGCTTGTATGCCTAACTTTCGGCGGTCGTTACTCTCGACTAATCTGTTTTTTCCCTGGTTCGACCGCATAAAATATACAATACGTCAATACAAATAATTTTATACCAAAATCTTATTTTTAAAAAAAATTGAAATTTAACGGTAATAATACAGGTTGGCAGTATAATAACAGAAATAATAAAGGTATGCAGTTTAACAACGTTGGTAATAGAGGTCGGCAGATTAATCGTCAGGGTAATGGAGGTGTGCAGTATAAGAACAGTGGTAAAAAAAATGAAAAATTCAATGGAATACCAGGAAGAGGAACCATGAATTTCTAAACATTCACGAAGCAATATATCTACATTAATAAAAAAAAAAACCCATGAATCTTAATTAAAAAGTTTTAAACTGTTTATATTCTCATAAAAAATATGAATGTAAAGAATATAAAAAATACCGTGTTTCATAGTACTATATGTAATCATTTCCAACTGAATAATACTTTTAACATATGATCTGTAATGCATTTATTATTTACAAATATATTTATTATTGTGCATTAAGTATTGAATTTACTTATTAGTATATATAGTATTCGTTAGTATAGCACTTTGGACATAACAGACTTATAAATAAAACAAATTTGCAGCAGCGTTCTGAACATTTAGAAGTCTTTATAGAACAACAACAACCATAATTGCTTAAACATTGAAATATAATCTATTGTGCATGGTAAACACAATTGCATATTCGTCGCAAGTTGGTGTAAAACTTAGTTAACCGGCTTGAGTGTGGATCATACAAAGTAAAATTAACTTCCGGGTCGATCTCGTGTAGAGCATCAGCTATATCCGTAGATAATAGGGTCCAAGGAACGTCCAACCAAATGACTAACCAGGTATAAGAAACCATGCTCGGAGGTTGGCACTGTCTTTTCGAGACACTGGAAATCATTATTTTACTTCATCTGGGACAGCCGCAAATATTCTCCAGACTCAATATAAATGTTAAACAAAATTACGATGGAAATTATGATTGTTTCCCAAAAAAAAAAAATATGTAAAAAAAAATAAGAAATAAAATTCTAGATTATCAAGTTTAAACGTTTCCAAACATTTATCATACCAAAACAAATTAATAGAAGCCAATCGACAAACAGTATTGTATTGAATAACTGTTGTATAACATTCACTAACTAATTTATTGAAAAATGTTTTCCTGATAAACTTTAGCCTAAATAGTCTCTCGACAATGTGTATGTTACGGTCTTAACTAAAGTTTTAGGATAACTCGTGAGTATATAACTAGTAATTATTTTATAACTCAAGTGTTAATTGCAAATACCTAGCAATAATTGCAGTGGGCTCAAGGCATAGTAGGGACAGAGCATATTTCTAATAAAATAATTTATTTCTGAACGCCTTTAACCTTTCAGTCTCTAATATGAAGTCCAGTCGAGGCACTTGATATTATTTTTAAATAAAACAATTGACGTTGGTTTAAAAAAAAAAAAATTGTAGCATCGATGAACAAATTCTTTATTATATTAGTTTTTGCAAAGTATATACTCTGACGGTGCTATCGAGGCATTCGCAAGGTAAACGTTATTTTCATCAAATCAAATATGTTACATTTTTATAATAATAAAAAAAAGATGTAAAAGTTACAAACACGACGCACGTTAAAATTATTCTACAGCTATACTATACAGATATAGGTTTTATCAGTGTTCAAAATATCAGTGTGCCATAAATTCTAATATTGTATGTTAGATATGTGAATATTGTCAACCTTTGAATTATTTCTACCTTTGAATTTTGAGATATCAAGTTATATAAACAGGTGCTTACACTAAAACATTAATTTACCGGCAATGACATAAAAGTATAATGCAAATTGCAAGTATAAAAAATCCAGAACAGTGAGGTTCAGGCACAAATAGGGTTACAGAATATTATAACAACTGAAAGTGATAGCTGATAACATTTACTTTCAAATAAACGCTTTGATGCGAATCCATAATGGTAGAATACAAATATCGATAAAAGCGTTGTGCCTAATAATGTTTTTAAAAATGTAATTTTGTTATTAGGGTAGACAAGTCTATAATAATTATTTTAGCCAATTAGTGTAGTTAAACAAACATTCGGTTTGCTACATTGTAAAAAATATGTAAGTACAAGTTAAGAATTTGAACAGTTCGCATCATTCCCTTGACTCCACTGAACTGGCTTTTTAAATAAATTATTTGATATTGTACATACATCAATCCATCAAACAGATAAACAATTTACAATTTTCCATTAACTATTTGAAATAAACTAATATAACCATAATTAATAGATATGTTCGTTTTAATATAATATCTGTACTCTCATTCCATTTAATGATGAAGAAAAAAAACACTTCTCATTATTTATTATTTTATAATTATAACGGCTGATCGTTGAATGTTGTTGGTTGAATTTTAATTTAGTTGTACTGTAATAGTACATAATATTATAGTATAATTTACATTCAACTATGTGTTATAAAATATAAAGGCACTACTACACAACTAGGTATTCACCAAGGTTGGACAAGTTAAATAAAATTTCATTAAGTCAATAAAGATTTCTCGAAAAAAAAAAAAAATGTTCTATTCAAAGTTATGTCTTATAAAAATGTAGTACCTCTTTTTGGAACACGCTGTGTGTGATATTAAATAACAATGATACATGCCTAATTTATTATAAATTTCATGACTACAATCATTTGCGTCCGAACTTTTAGTGTGTTATACCACAATCTCTTTCACCTTTAATAATTTGTTATTGTATCTGAACTTAGGGTCTCATAAATACAACTTGGCTGCAGCTACATGCTGTTAAAATATTTCAGAACAAAAATTATATTTCTTACTATCGTTTGAAACAAATTAATAAAAACCAGTGTTTTAAGCATGCTCACAAATAACTCGGGCGTTATAACAGACAGTTATATTGTCTTGAAACCAAAACTTAATATGCATTTTTTTCATGCGAACAAACATAAAGCCATTCTCAAATTTTTATTTATTCGACGTAGATGTATTCGTTGAAATCGTTCTTTTAAATACTGAAAGCACTGACTATTTAGTTACAGTTGAACTAAACAGTATATTATAACCGTTAATATGATAAATATTCAAATTATTATTTTGCTTAGCCTAGCAGCATACGTTGCGTAAGTATTTTTTCAGACTATTTATTTTTTAAAAGCTTTTAAACATATTTCATAAAATCTAGAGTTTTCGTGTATTAATTTTGATTTTTTATAAAAACGTTTGCTTTTCAGAGGCGGTATCTTGTTGTCTAGAGGTAACTATATATTATAAGATTTATTATAAAAAAAAATATTTCAATGTGGATGGGGCATAATGGGGTCCAAGCATATTGGTGACATGGATATAATAGTTTTTTTTTTATTAATTATTATGGCTGTGTTTATAAATAACCTTTGATGGGAAATTATAGGTGGCAAAATTATTAAGTATAAGGCATATTTTACACAGTTAAATATATTAGAACTCTCGTAAATAATTAAATTAAAAATTGAAAAAAAAATCGCAGCCTCGTGTTGGCAGAGCTGCCTTGTAATTAAAATTTAATAATATTTGATTTAAATAAGTTTCCAACATATAACGCGTCAGACATAAAATTGACCATTTTAAAACCAATATCTTCTAAGCCTCGCGTTAAATCTTAAAATTATTAAGTTCAACTGTTTTATTTTATTATAATTGACTGATGGTATCTCTGGTATCTACATAGTTTTTATGGTTATATTCTTACGTATACAGATACTACAGCAAAAAGTTGGGATGTTGAAATCAACGGGTCCAGTGAAGCCGGTTCACTGAGCGTAAATGTCGATGATGAATCCGACTCGAAAGGCAAAGACTCTGAAGAAATCTACCGCGACAGCACGAACATTCCAAGACAATCTGGGAACAATTTCGGTAACTTTGGTAATTTTGGAAATCAAGGTGCAAGCTCGAACTCTATACAAGATGGAATCTATGGAAATTTGATTGGGAATCTAAATATAAACTTTGGAAGAACTGCCGACGGCTTTAAGATCAATGGTAGAATAGTTCCAGGAGTCAATCCATACAACGCTATAGAGATCGATTGGTACCCACAAGGAGGGATCGCAGTGAACGGTGATTACAAACCAGGATTCGAAGATATAATATATAGCGGAAGAACGATTTTGGGGCCGATATTAAACCCATTTGATAGTGACGGTACCGGGTCAAGTGAACACTCAACAGCAGGTAATAAAAAAAAAAAAATAAATAAAACATTGAATAAGATAAAATCATGTAATTATAATTTCACATGGCGATTTCCAATAAAATATTTTGGAAATAGTATTTATGTGCCCTCACCGATGAAAATAAATGTATTATTATGCCTATAAAGTATAGCAAGCATGCGAGACTCTTAAAAATATGTTTATTTTAACACAAATCAGACTATGTGAGGTCAGAACAAAAATGAGTCTAAAATTAATACCTATTGGACTATTCAAGAATACTATAATGATAGTTTCGAAGACAATTTTTAGGCCTCCGAATAAATATTGATGTATCATTTCATTTATTACAGTTTTAATATTTTTATCTAGGTGAAAAATCGCATAAGAAAAACGACTACCAAAGTAGATATCAAAACCGTGGAAGGCTATTTAGAGAGCCAACTATACCAACTGATAACGCTACCAAGACGACTTACGACGACTTGATGAATCCTATTGAAAATATCACCTCTTTTAACAAAGGACTCAACAATAAACGTAAAGGAAAAGCCAAGACTACAACTGGAGATGAAGATTTTTCAAGAACCGGAGTGGGAAAACAGGGTTTAAGTGTAGAATGTACCGACGACGGAGCCCTGGTCAACGGCAAATTAGCTCCAGAATATGATGTAAGAAACCAACCTCACTTTGACATGACTGGTGATGGAATGAAGATCAATGGCCAACAGGTTGGGGATACCGGGTCAAGACAAGGCTCAAAAACAGGTTATAAAAAATAACTATAATACTTTAAGGTCTAAACAAGTAAAATATTGTACCAGTTATAATCATCTAGTTATGTTTTTACATGGTGATTTATAATCAATTTTTTTTTATTATAAAAAAAAAATTACAAAAAATATAAGCGAGACTCATAAAAAAATGTTTATTTTAACAAAAACCTGACTATGTGAGGTCAGAACAAAAATTAGTAAAATAAATATTGAAATTATAACTAATTTAAAATACCAAAATATTTTTTTTATAAAAACAAATTTTAGAATACATATTAGTATTACATTTTATTGACTGCAATTCTCTTATTTTAATCTAGATAAAAGATATCAAAAGAAAGGTGGAAACAATATTGGACTTCCCAATTCAAATAACATAAACACAAACAATGTTAACTGGAATAACATGAACTCGAGTTCACCAAGGCCTAAACAACACGGCAAAGCAAAATCAAATATCCCTGCGAAATCACCAAAACAAAAAACAACAGTTGCAAACAATCAAGGATGCGGGGCTGGTGGAACCTTAAGTAACTTTGGTAATTTTGGAAATCAAGGTGAGAGTTGAATTCGTTTTTTAACTTTTAGCTACTTTAAATTTTGAAAAAAAAAGTTTTAAGGATAGAACTAAAAAGAATGCTTGAATACTACTAAAAAATTACAACTGTTCAGTGAAAATTCCATTTTGATATCAAAATTAGTCAGAAAGTAACTTGGTCGTAAACTTGGTATTTTTACAATAATTTACAGAATATGTCATCGTTTAAGTTCAAACGAAATGTTTTATCACTGATGAAAATAAATTTATTGTTATGCCAAAAAAAGTAATCGAGACCCATACCAAAAATGTTTATTTTAACAAAAAATATGACTATGTGAGGTCAACACAAAAATGATTAAAACAAATATATTGAAATTAATACTGGACTAATAAAAAATACTATAATGATTGTTTAAAAAACAAATTTTAGAATACATATTAGTATAACATTTTATTGACTGCAATTCTCCTATTTTAATCTAGATAAAAGATATAAACAGAAAGGTGGAAACAATATTGGACTTACTAATTCAAATAACATAAACTCAAGCAATGTAAACTGGAATAACATAAACTCGAGTTCACCAATCGAAGATAGCGAAGATGAAGTTTATATGCCTAAACTATACGGCAAAGCAAAATCAAAGATCCCTAAGAAATCACCAAAACAAAAAACAACAGGTGCAAACAATCAAGGATGCGGGGCTGGTGGAACCTTAAGTAACTTTGGTAATTTTGGAAATCAAGGTTTGAGCTCAAACATCAATACAAACAATTTGATGCCAAAATCTTATTTTAAAAAAAAATTGAAATTTAACGGTAATAATACAGGTTGGCAGTATAATAACAGAAATAATAAAGATGTGCAGTTCAACAACGTTGGTAATAGAGGTCGGCAGTTTAACAACATTGGTAATAGAGGTACGCAGATTAATAATCAGGGTAATGGAGGTGTGCAGTGTATAAACAGTGGTAATATAGGTAAGTCTGATTTAGTGTCAGGGTCGAATTACTATCATACCTTATATCACATTCTATTGATACGGTGTAATAACGTTGCAAGTGAAAGTTTGGCTCTCACAAATAGCACGAAATTGTCAAATTTTGTCATTTTTGAGCAATAATATAACAATAACTACTTGGCAGAAATTTAAAATTTGATCAAAATTTTCTTTAAAAATTAATAATCTAACAGAATATCTAAAAAAAAATTGGGGTTCACATTTAAATTTCAAAAGTTGATACCGCGCATGCACAAACTACTTAAGGTAAGATTTTGGAATTAAGCCTTAAATGTGCATAAAATAACACCTACTAACACACAAAAGTCAAAATTTAAAAAAAATCAATAACGGCTCGAAAAATTGGCCGTTTTCGAACTTTTAGAACACCCTGTACATAGCTATTGCTAGTATAATATTATAGGATATAGGCACTGTTATTTTGTACATTATGTCATCTAAGTTCCCTAATTAAACATATATATTTTAATCAAGTTGCTACGTTAAGTCAAAAATAACAATTAGAAGCAATGTGATTTAAACTGCATAAATTTCAAGCGTAATATAGAAATCCGATCAGCAGTTTAGAAAATTTAGTGGGTTATACCAATTTTTTTTTACATACTTAAACGGGTTCATCATCAAACATTCTGTGTGTGTGTATTTACAGATTTGTTATTCTGAAACATAAATTGTTTAAACATTATAGGCATTGATTCATACTATTTTAACACAATATTTACAGTGCTGTATGAATTTCATTAGAAATTCACTCTAAAAAAAAAAAGGTTTGTTTAAGAAATAAATTGAATTTAGTGAATCTATGAGCACATCCTATGGGTACTATTATGGCAAAAATAACATATTGTATCAAATTGTTTCAACTACTTTTATTTTTATATGATTTCTAAAAGTAGACTACAGTGGCAGTGAATCATCCGGGTATGACACTTCAGACTCCATGCAATTTGATGGTTATAATACAGGTTGGCAGTATAATAACAGAAATAATAAAGATATGCAGTTTAATAACTTTGGTAATAGAGGTCGGCAGATTAATCGTCAGGGTAATGGAGGTGTGCAGTATAATAGCAGTGGTAATGTAGGTAAGTCTGATTTAGTGTCAGGGTCGAATTTATTACTATCATACCTTTTATCACATTCTATTTATTGAAAACGTTTCAGGATATGCAACTTTTACCCAAGATAATGTAACCGTAGAAATGAATGGTGATGCACTCACGATCAACGGCATAAAAGTCCCAGAAGTTAAAGCGAAGAATTTAAAGCAGGTAAAATGGAGAAAAGGTTCACTCAAGATCAACGGTAAAATAAATGAAAAATTTACTGGAATACCAGGAAAAGGAACCATGAATTTCTAAACATTCACGAAGCATTATAATATCTACAATGATAAAAAATAAAAAATCAATGTATCTTAATGAAAAAGTTTCAAACTGTTTATATTCTCATAAAAAATATAAAAAATACCGTATTTCATAGTACTATATGTAATCATTTTCAACTGAATAATACTTTTAACATATGATCTGTAATGCATTTATTATTTACAAATATATTTATTATTGTGCATTAAGTATTGAATTTACTTATTAGTATATATAGTATTCGTTAGTACAGCACTTTGGGATACATAAGACTTATAAATAAAACAAATTGGCAGCAGCCTTTTGAACATATAGAAGTCTTTATAGAACAGCAACAACCATAATTGCTCAAACATTGAAATATAATCTATTGTGCATGGTGAACACGATTGCATCTTCGTCGCAAGTTGGTGTAAAACTTAGTTAATCGGCTTGAGTGTGGATCATACAAAGTAAAATTAACTTCCGGGTCGATCTCGTGTAGAACATCAGCTATATCTGTAGATAATAGGGTCCAAGGAACGTCCAACCAAATGACTGACCAGGTCTAAGCTCGGAGGTTGGCACTGTCCCTTCGAGAAGCTGGAAAACTTTATTTTACCACGACAGTTACTTAGATGATCCATTCGGAGACTTCATCTGGGACAGCCGCAAATATTCTCCAGACTCAATATAAATGTCCTAACCTCATATATTCTATACTGCGGTCTGAAAATTATAAAAAAAAAAAACAGAACTCAATTATCTTGGATTTGACATTAAAAAAAGTAGAATTGGTTTTTCCTAAAAATAATAGATTTGTGGGTAAAGCTCTAATGACTCTAATGACGCTATGCGCTTCGTATGTAGTTGACAGATAAAATAAAAAAATATATATATAAGAAGTATACTTCTTAAGTATTTGAATTCTACCGCGTTAGTTGATAAGGTAGAGTACTGACAAAACAACATGTGATAGGAGAAGGTGATTATAAAGTAACTATCAGGTTTAGAGCAATATTAAAAGTTAAAATAATTTGTTAAAATTAATTTGTAATCTGTGAGAGACAATATTGTGATCAATAAACATTGAATGTTGTTTCTCATTTTTACAGGTTTGTAAATTATCTTATAAATAAGTTGTAAATAGCCTTATAATATAATAAACTCATTTTTACAGAGAAACGTTTCAGTTTGTTGTTATATTAATCTTGCCCCAGATTAACAATAAATAAATTACATATTTTATATATATATATATATAAATACCCTTTACCACAAAAAGTAATAGCCTTTTCAGTAGTAGTATGTTCATGATTTGGTACCCGGGCATTGTTTGCACGAAATTGCATATTTGCACAATTATGTAAACAAGTACATTTCGAGTATATTTGTTGTATAAAATCCATACTAACATACCGATGTCTTTTGTGAGGCGTGTAAATGTATTTTTTGAAATTTTACAGAAACTGGGAATGGTACACCATTCATATATCTAACTTCCATGCTACCGAATATCAAGATTATGAATCTCTCTTTATTCCTGCTTGTCGTTATTCTTAACCACGGTACCGGATGGGTTGCCAACAGTTGCCCTAGGAAAATTTCTGGTTCGATTATCGGTTCTCCCCCGTAAAATATCCGATGTTTTGTCTGCTGACCGTGTACCGCGTGTCACATCAGTTTCATACTACAGTATATTTATTATGTTAGTTAGGTTTTTTCTAGGGGCTTGTTAAAATTATTTCCAAACTTCGAAAAGTATTATCTATTTTATATAAGCCCGGCGCCACCGCCAAACCTGTCTGTTTGGCTAGTTGGCTAGGTTAGGCCGAAACGACATTCGATAGGGTTTTTAATTGGTAGACCCGAAGACGGCACGGTCCACGGATGGCTAAGCCGGATCTACACTTAAATATCCTTTAAAGTCCCAAAGGAAACAGGTTTACTAAATAAGTGAATCTATAATATATATACACATATATATATTGCACCTCTTCCTGGATTCTAAAATGACTATGTGTTATAAGTTTAAACACAAAACAGAAAACAATTATAAACATTTGTAGGTTGGTTAGCTAGACCGAATCAGGTTGAATCTTTTCCTAAGCATACTCTGGGTTTTTAGTCTCTACTGGCGTGTGGCCAAGCAACGACCGGTTAAGTGTAAAACTCGAATAGCCAATAAAATATCCTCAACTGCTTTGACGTTAATATATAAAAAACAGGGAGGAAAAACAAACAGGAAGTAAATAGTGTGAAGTTTAGGTTTTTTTTAAATAGCAATAAAAATAGAACACTTTTGCGTAGGTAACTAAATGACTGACGGCTTGCCACAGCCTGTACCCGGAAATATTTTACTGATTTCAACAGGTAATGAAAATATTTTCATCATACTATTAATAACGATATATGGGTAGATCAACCCTAATCGTATCCACCCTTAGACTACAAATTTATTTTTAAGCACAATTGTCATTAGGTACAATGTTTTTATCGATATTTGTATTTTTGTCTGTTAACACTGTACCTCCCTTACTTTCTCACTTATTACTGCTCATTCTCTTACATATAGTACTTTATTACTGTGCTAATTTATACTGTGATTGGTTTGACCCTACTATCCACGGACTGGCATTGAAGTATTTATTTAATAGAGATTTTATCACTTTCAGTAATAATAATTTCTGTAAGCCCGTGACCTCCCCACTCCCACTATGCCCCGACCTAACTGTACTGGCTTTTTATGGCTTTTATTTTCTAACGTCTACAGATTTCTTTATTCAGAGGCCCAAAATTTTGAATTTCAAATTGATAATGTACTAGGTTTTATTTTATACTCTGAATTATCGTCGTATGAATTGTACTAGTATATTATAAAAAACGGTAAAGTGTGTAAACAACACACGGTTAGTAATGTTTTTTTATTGCGTCTATTCACCTTAAATTCGTATAGGTATAAAAAAAACGTATCAGTCATAATAACCACTCCATATTATTGCACATAGAAAAATTCAATACAAATGACTCCTAGCTGACATTGTCCTTGTAGTCGTTTATGCCTTTAATCGATGAAAAATACTTAAATATACAAAAATGGTTACCATTATCTTTTAACTCAAAACTTTACCGATCCGGTTCAACGGTAATATTTGTTTTTTAACGTGCCTCTATATGAAATGTAGGTACGCTTAAATAATTTTTCTTTTAAAGAAAGTTCGATATTATTTTAAACGCAATGATATACAAGGTGATCCAACTAACATAAGACACTAATTTTCTCTGAAAATATGAACATTTTGACAATTTTTTTTCCCTTAACTTTTAGGCGCATATTTTAATGTAATATAACTTTTGCTTTGAAATCAAATTTTAGAGGTACAAAATAATTAAAACTTAACACTTCAATAACATAAAAATTATCATCATGAAATTAGAGTAGACCTTGCATAGTAGATTATGGCCGTTTCGTGAACTGTTTTGGCGTTTAAGTCTCAACACTTATTTATGAACATTTCAAACTTATAAAAATAAAGAGAGCACAGTGGGGTATGGGCAAAGTGGAGATGAGGCGGTCACGGCACTATAGAAATTATTATAACTCAAAGTAATGAAATAATTTTTAAACAAACGCTTCGATGCCAATCTGTGGACAATAGGTTCAAACCAGTTCAGTCTAAACCAAGCACAGTATACACGTGGTTTATATTAAAAAAAAAGTTTGAATACAGGTTTTTGAGAAAATTGTATATGTTAGAGCCCCATATTAGATCTACCTTTCAAACTTCTATCCCTAAAACTTTGGTTGAAAAAGTGAAATATAGAAAAAAAATTCTTGTCCTACTAGGGGAAAGGGTTTAAGATATTTTGTTGCTTTGTCAATGTTTATCGGTAGTACTATGTTTAAACATACATATGTCAAAATTACAAAATGAATAGTCATTCTCGACAAATTTATTTTTTTTGTTTCGTAATAACCCTTCACATATGATATTAAGTTGAAACTTAATCACGAGAGTCGAATATTTAGTTTTTTGCACGATATAATATTGTTTAAAATTAACTATTTGCTTTATTTTTAGTTATAACATATTTTTACATTACAGCCTTTTACACATGGAAAAGGAAAGTATGGTCTTTATATTTATACGATTTTTTATCATTTTACACATATATTACCTTTAACTCTATAAACATTATGTTTTGGGAATTAGGGTAATTTTTTTTTTTACCTGTCGTGCCTTGTCGGGCAACATTTCACTAACCAATGATTAATTAAGTCTCTCCTTAAATAGATTAAAAAAAAAAATATATATCCGCATCTTTTTGCCATTTTATTTTAAGGCAACAAATTTAATGTCAAGTTCCAGACCCCCCCCCCCCCAATAAAAAAGTCATCCTATCAAAGTAGTGATATCTACATTGTGGCCAAGTATTTTATTTCTTTAGTTCATAATCTCACTTCACTCTTACTTTTATGAGCAACACTGCTCTTTTATTTGTATTGCTTAATACTTGACCAGTATCCAAATGAAAATTAACCTTTCTGAATGAGGCTAAAACCGACTTGGCCGCAATGTAGATTTCACTACTATGATTGGCTTACTTTTTTTTGGGAGGGAAATTTAAACCTTTTTTCATTTCTTCTGTGTTATCTCAGTA